CACGCCATAATTTTGAGCTTTAGGGTAAACAAAGCTTGGGGTGGAAAGAACGGCCAAATTATGGTGTTTCTTCATGTTAAAATCTGTCTATTGCAAATAGTTCACAATAAAATTGAAACTCATCATGGATAGAGGGTGAGTTTTTGTTTCTTCATGGGAACAGATTTAGAGAAATTTAGCATTACATCTCTTGCTCAGCAATGGATCCTCTGCAGTGAATGGGTGCCGTCAGAATGAGAGTCCAAACATCTGATAAAAACATCACAAGTAATCCACATGACTTTAGTCCATCAACTAACGTCTTGTAAAGCAAAAAGATGTGCGTTTGTAAGAAACAAATCCATCATTGGTGGATATCTTTTGGATATCTCTACATGGATAACTTCTAATTAACCAAGAAATATTGCACTAAACACTCTAGAAAAGGTAATGATGCTTTGATTTTGTTTTTGTGCTTTGAAGAACCCAGAAACCAAAATGCCGGTCTGAAGATCCTATAATGAAAAATAATATTTTATCTCCAAAGAACATAGCAACTCAATGATCTGAATCTCATAAAATTCTTGCAAATTCAATGTCTGATATTAATTCAGCAAATAAATCATATTAAAAACATATCTTTTCTCATATATCACTACAATCCAAGTTGTTTCCAGACAGATTTCTATAGCACTCTCTAGTTCTCATTTTTTCTCTCATTTTGTTGCTCTTCCGCCCACATAAAACTTCAGATTCAGGCTTCTGGAAACAAACATTTCACAAGCAAATTAAATCCTTCCATGCTGCTGCTTCCCTCCTCACTCTATTCCTTCCTCCTCCCTTTCCTTTTCCGTCTTCCCACACGGTTATGACACACAGCTCTTGCCAAAGATACCTCCAAAAATAGAAGTCATCCTCTCTCATTACTTGGTCTACTTGTATATAACAACATTATGGTGAAAACAGTCACGATTACTCGTGGCCGACACCATCCACCATGTTGTTTGAACCACAAAATCATACAAATGTGGTCATATGCCACAAACTACTCATATTTTCCACTGAAAGCAGAAGTGAAAATGGGGTTTCTTGGATCTATATTTATTATGGCAAAGACATGTATGATTTGCAGATTTAGATCATTAGCATACAGTTCAAATCACCTCCGGAAGCTTTGCAGGTTGTTAGTTTTGCAGGAGAATGCTTTTAAAGCATGTTTTTTTTTGTTATAGCAGTCTGTTGGGTAATATTATAATGAAATTCTTAGTTAAAACCTGTCGCAATAATCCTACGCAGTCTGCTGAGCTGGCCACTTTGGCCACGGCCAGATATCGAAATTTCCAATCCTCCAAGACCTCTTGGAAAAAAAGCAGGAATTATTTGCCTCTGAGTGTCTGAGAATGAGAATATCCACGTCATACATTACTAACACAAACAAGAGCCTTCGGCTTGAACAATAACTCCATCCCACAGGAAACCTTTTCTCATCTAGGCCTGGTTTTAAAACATAAATGCTCTTTAATGGTTCTCTGCAGAGCTTTAGGTTTAGCAAAGTATACTTTTCTTCTTAAAACACTGGCATTTTGGTTGTACAGGGTTTGTGAGATTCTAAATCGTTCTTTGGAGATTTTGAAGATTTTATGTATGCGCCTATGCCTTGCAAACTTATATGTGGATAAACATTTGTACTGCAAATTCTGCGGATTTGAAGTATGTCACCATACTGAAATTGAACTGCAGGAATAAAAACCTACAAAGCAATCAGTATATGACATTATAGCCATAATATTAGCAACTATTGGAAATAAAAAAAAAAATAAAAAAAAAACATTTTATGACCTAAAGGTTCTCGTATGGCAAAAGGCTCTAAAACCTTCTAGGTTCTTATTGGTAACTTTACTCTAAACAAGACAGCAAATTAAAAATAGTGTAAAATAAAGATCTTATCAAGCAGAACCCTATAGTCTGTGCAGCGTACAGAAATGTCTTGCAGTGAGTGAGAGAGAAAAACCTGATAGTCTTTGTACAGACTCATCTGTGATGGGGAAACAGTATCCCTTTGATCAAGTTCAGTCTTGGAGAATCTCGGTCCTGCCTGCGCCCAAAACACTCACTACAAAGCAATCAATGTTGCTGTACAGAGGATTCTCTGACCTGTCTCTCTCTCTCTTTCTCTCTCTCTCTCTCTCTCTCTCTGGTTCTCTGAGCCTCAGGCTACAGGACAAGGCCTCCATCAGAGCTAATAATAATGACACACTGGTGTCCGTGACTCAAATGGCCCAAGGTGTGAGCCATACAGCTGCCACTGACCTGAGATCAGCTTCACATTCACAGGATATGAATAACTGACACAAGAAAAAAAAAACGTGGGAGGAGGTCTTTTAAGATGGCAATAAACACAAGGTTTCAGTCATTATTCAAAATAGTAAAAAGCTTGGACAGGAGGATAATAAGAGAAAAAGTGAAGGCATAGAATTTTTTTTTTAATTATTATTATTATCGGAGACAGTTAGATGCTCATGGAAGAGATGAGTTTTCAGTTGTTTCTTGAAGATTGTGAGGGATTCGGCTGTTCGGATGGAGTTAGGTTGGTCATTCCACCAACAGGGTATGGTGAAAGAAAACATTCCTTGAGAGTGATTTTGTGCCTCTCAGTGATGGGACCACGAGCCACCGCTCATTTACTGACTGCAGGCTTCTGGAGGAGGTGTAGATGCATAGGAGAGAGCGGAGGTAGGAGGGTGCGGAGCCCGTGGCAGTTCTGTAGGCAAGCACCAATGACTTGAACTTGATGCGAGCCATGACTGAAAGCCAGTGCAGAGAGATGAGAAGCGGTGTGACATGAGCTCTCTTGGGTTCATTGAAAACAAAACATACTGCTGCATTCTGAATCATTTACAGAGGTCTGATTGGTCCAGAAGAGCACTGCAATAGTCCAAACTAGAAATGACAAGGGCCTGGACGAGAAGCTGTTGCATGCTCTGTTAGGAAGGGTCTGATTTTCCTGATGTTATGTAGTGCAAACCTGCATGATCAGCTGATCATCAAGGATCACCCCAAGATTCTTGGCCGAACTCGATGGGATTATCGTTGATGTGCCCTGTTGAATGGTAAACTGCTGCTGTACTGATGGGGTGACTGGGAAGATGAGAAGTTCTGTCTTTGCCAGGTTGAGCTGAAGGTAATGCTCTATCATCCATGCCGATGAAAGAGCATAGAATGTAATACTCATCATCATGGTTGCTAAGGTGTTCTGGGGGTTTGCTAGGTTGTAGTTTACTGGCCCGGGACAAGAGAGTTGAGAACGAGATCTGTCTTTAACACAGTAATCATATAGGAATGCGATGACATGTTTCCTCCTCTTTTGGCGCATTTTTACAGTTTAGGGCTGCACAAGTATACATGTGGTACACTCTTAAAAATAAAGGTGCTTCAAAAGGTTCTTCAAGCGATGCCATAGAAGAACCATTTTTGGTTCCACAAAGAACCATTCAGTCAAAGGTTCTTTAAAGAACCTTTGACTGAATGGTTCTTTGTGGAACCAAAAATGGTTCTTCTATGGCATCGTGAAGCACCTTTATTTTTAAGAGTGTATGACAGTTCAAAACAGCCTGATTTAAAACTACAAATACCAAGAGACAGGAATGTGCATAAACTAAGATCTTGTGAGACAATGACTAGCTGTTTCCTTAGCATAACTCACACCAATCTACTGTTGTCGCCATACCTGCAACTACACATCTCGAGGCAGCATTTGACCTTGCCGTTAAAGGTAATTTATTAGAGGACTCTAGTAAAACCTAAGGAATTGCGATCCTTAGGTTTCAGGTTTGATCTGATTTCAGAAGACGCTTTCATTCAAAGCAGCTTACATTGCATTATAACTAGCCTGAGGTTAAATTCCTTGCTCAAGGACACAATAGCTGTTGATCATGAATTATGCCTTATGGGATTTGAACCTGCAAACTCTGGGTTTCAAGCCCATACTACAAATATGATCCCATGCAAAATTATTAAACCAACATCAAATCTGCACTACAACGGTGGCACAGAAGCATTTCTGAAGTGGCATTTAGGCTAGATGTCTGTTTAATGCTGCTCAGAAGTGGCATAAATGCATTTACGCAGCAATTGCATCTTTTGATACTGTTGAGGTGGGTCAGAACAGGTATAATTTAGCCTGGGTTTTATGTGGCATTACGACTTTACACAGAAATTACTCCAAAGCAATGCAAGTTGGGAATCAGTATCTTTGTCCTATTAATAAAAGATAGCCTGTATTATTAAATATATGACTAGATAATCAATATATAATAATTTATTTTTACCACATTGGCAAATTTCTTAAAATTTAGCATCACAAGTAAATTAATCTTGTTTTAAGGATGTTTAAATCTTTTTTTTACTGTCAAACCATATAAAATACTGATTAAGAAAAGTTTTTTTTTGTAGTTTCTAATTGCAGGATCACATTGAGTTCTGTATCATAAGGCAATAGGAGGATTAATCATGATGCAACAACGAAAAACCTGTGGGCTTTCAGTTGGTGCTGAACAAGGACTGTTATAGACATGTAGCGGGTCTAAGACATGAGCAGGACTGTTTTGCGCACACCGGTAAATCCATGAAACCTCTTAATATATAAACTCACTGATGCTTTTCTCGTGGAAATATAGTAATGATCAAACAATAGCAGCGAATATAATTTCCGAATCATCAAATTAAGAGTGCTGACATTAAACGCCACTGAATTATGCTCACTGAAATGCGAAAAGCCGTTATCCAGGTCACGCACATATGGGCCGCTACTTTTGTTGTTTTCTTAATGACAGGTGGCACAGAAACCTAAATGAACAAGCTTTAAGGTTCATACAAAATATAAACACTATGACATGACTGAAAATATGCGCACATATAGCCTACTCTAGTAATATATTCTGCGTCCTTTGACCACCCATGCGTTTTTTCAGGGTTTCATGGACATTTTGTACGTAGTTTTCTTTTATTTCAGATGTACTTACCTTTATCTGTCAGCGTCAGTTTTTCTTCAAAGCTGCACTCTAGAGTCTTGTTCTCCATTTTGTTCATGGTTTGCAGTCAGTCATTCCATTACAGGCTCCAAAAGAGACGCGTAAAAAAGAGGAACTCCCAGTTATGAACACACCCGAATGCAGTGGCCCTTTAAATCTGGTCAATAACAAACAGTTGAGCTCAATTAAAAGAGCAATACGATCGATGATAGATTAAATTCGCTATTCCCACTGAAATGTGTGATCTCAGCTGTGAAAACCATAGATAGAAAAAGAGGGGGGCCCAGGTCCGGGGCCCTACCCACCACACAGCAAGCCGCTCGCCGAATACAGCCGCACGATGCGGGACTGTCTCTGCCTATCCACTGGAGCGTACCATTCACCTGGATGGGGGACACTGACGCGCAGTTTGCACACTTGAAAAGGTTATTCATGGTTATATACACTGTTTACATTTGTATATCTCTAATTTACTTAAAATACATTTATGAAAATACTGGCGTCTTCACAGGTGCTGTAAAGGAAAAGGTGTATCTGTAGGTTTTTGCACAATGGCTCCTCCTCTCGGTTTCTAAAAGCTGGATCTGCGGAATCAGGATGGAGACACAACGGTACACGTCCTTTACTGTGCCCCGCTGCAAAACTGAGGTGGATCCCACATTTTATTAATCATCTGATGTACATTATGACCTGGTGGACCTGCAAACGCAATATATTTAATTCCATAGGTGATCAGAAAAAAAAGTTAAATTTGTGCATTTAATAATAATAATTATTAAAGTTTTATTTGTTAAAAAAAAAATAGATTTTTATAGT